TGCTGAACTTGCTCTATTGCAGAAAGTCCCCTCACTTCTTAAAAGCTTTTAAAGCTTCTTCTCCCATCTGCCACCCCCTTTTCAAGAATTAAAAGAGGGGATATTGCAGGAACCCTTAAATACAAGCAGACATCATGCAGACCAGGAATATATGCATAGCAAGCTATTTCTAATACTGCCTAAGGCTGGAGAAGAGAACAAAAAGAATTAGAAATGTCTGCATTAACTAATTATAAATGCTTTTCTCTGAGACAGAGCAAAATGAACATAAACACAGGAGGGGTAAAATCCCTAATTTCCCCAATCTACATTAGTAGGTAGCTGGTAAAGATCCTGTTCTACCTGCTGGGAAAAAAACCATGAGAAGTAGTCCTCAGAAGATGCATAAAATTTCACTATATTCAGCCTTACAGCACAGTTGTTTGAGGATATCTACACAGAAGGAAGTTTTCAAGTGGCCTGGAAGGAAAAACAGTTCTCTCCCCTCTTTGAGTCAACCCTGATTATAAAACAGGGTCTAAGCAGGAAATGCAGATAAACTCAAGAGAGAATATTTAGACCACTTTGTCCTCCATTTAGCTTGGACTCCTCATAAAAATTTTATATAATTAATGATCCTGTAGTCCCACAGCTCTGCAATCCCCACTGGAGCAGAACACAAGTCCTGGCTAAAGCCAGTGGCAAAGCTACTGAAGGCAGTTGACCTCTACTGCTAGCAAGGCCAGACTGTGGCAAGGCAAGATGGAGAGGATCTCTGCAGACTTCTGGAGGATGACCCTCAGGGTTATATCCCTTCAGTGTAGCAAATGCGAAAACCAGTTGAAACAGTTGCCCATCAAAAACCACAGACTGTATTCCAATTAGTGTCTTCCCATCTATGCATTTTAAGCATCAGGAACACATGAATGTCATAGGTTGTCCCTGCCACCTACTGGATGGAAAAACGGCACCCAAAGGGCTAGACACTGATTCTCAAAAGGGATAAAAAGCATAAAGAGCAAATGGGAAAAAAATCCCGAGTAAATAGTAACAGAGTAAGTACCTATCAAGATACTTGATTTCACTGCCTTGCAGCCATTTACTGAGATCTGAGGGTGTAATTGGAACAGCCCAGCAAAGCGGGGTCAGCGCTAATTATGAAACCCCATCCAGAATACCCAACTGGCTGAGCTGAAGTAGCTTTTGCAGATACTAAGAGTTCTGAAAGAGAAGGCCACCGGCAGCACACTTGACCAAATTAATCTCTGTTGTGACTGACTGCAAATGGAGCTACACCTCAGGCAAATTGTTCTTCCACCAATAAACCACCACTGCTTTAAGTAAAGCAAACCACCGAACCACAGTTCTTATTGCCATCACTAGATGTCTCTTACTGCCCTGCTTTCTGAAAAAGTTGAGTATCTCCAAACAATGTTTTGCCCTTGAATGTTTCAGTATAGCCTTGAAATAGAAACTGTAGTAAAAGAAACTGCCTCACAAAGACCTAAGTTAATAACAAAACGACAGCTATACGTTTAGGTATCTTTCAGAATTTGCTTTAGTATTATTGATATTCTTCTCACTGGTATTTAATCCAGGAAAAGGTCTTTAGGAAAAGGGAGGGAGGGAAGGAAGAGCAGGAAAAAGCATTTGCCCTTAGCAAAACAGGTCACTGTAGGAGGTTCTCCCCACAAACTGCCTGCAATTTGCTAGTAAAAGTAAAAGTGCTTTTTACAAACCAGTGTGCAACAGACAGATAGTCCGTGACTATCTTGCAAAGAATGATAACCCAAGAATTTTAGGTGGCAGAGTTTTATGCGATTTAGAACCTCAGAAGTATTAGCAAGCAGCAAAGTATCTGTTGACCAGAGCCTACACATACTTTACATTCTCTGCAAAATACTGATTTATTTCATGAAGATTCCACAGTGAGCCACTCTTACCTTACTGCAACAGCCATGCTTCCTATAGGGTTGATTGGTAATGGCCTGGCTCCAGGAAATATTCCTCTACTCAGAACTCGAGCTCCATTTTGTATCACTCCCGGAGGAACTAAAAAACAAACAAAACAAAACAAAACAAGAACATTTTTTGTTTTAAAGGAGAAGTTAGAAAAATGTAGGATCAAAATGTGGAACCTAAGCTTTTCAATGAACTGAGAAAACATTAGAGAACCTTGTGTAGTACACTGCTTACCGTGAGCATCTCAGCCTCAACTCTTGTGAATGCCATGCTACTTCCATGTAAAAAAATTTAACAGCAACCAATGATAACACAGCTTGTGAAAGCCACTGCTTGACCTAGTTGCTGCAGATCATTCCTTGTACAATCAAATAACTTTTGTTTTCTAATTGCTGTTCTGCTGGGAATGCGGGTGCTTAGACTCAAAACCAGCTATGAGAAGACATGTAACTATTTCACCTACAATAAGAAACAACGACCCTTTACAGATAAAAAGAATATAAGCACTTCACTGCAAGAACATAGGTCATAGCTTTTTATCATCCCAGCTTACTTTCTGAGCAGCAGTCTCTTGGCCTCTGTCTCTGCAAAATAAAATATTAACTACAAATGTAGATTCACCAGGAAGCAAAACAAAAGAGGCTAAAAAGCCATTAGCTCCACACTGCTAATTAGCCCCTCTCTCTTCACACTGATGACCTCTGTCACCCAGCCTGACAGCATTCACGAGCCTCCAGCATGCTGCCGAGCCTCCCCACCCAAGGCGGTGCACTGACGCCACCGACACCGAACTGCACAGGTACTGGCGACTGCAGATGAGACATTTCACTGGGGCCTTTCAACTGGGCTGTGTATCAAAAGCTGCAGCTCTGGCCAACAAGACTTTAGCCTACAACCACGTATTTCTTTTCTATCCAGGCATGTTTCTGTGTGCTGATCAGCCTAGGGCAGCCAACCCCCCCAGCTGAAGGAATAGCAGAGGAAGCACTGCCAAGGCACCAGCAAAGGAACAGCCTGTCCTTAAGCAGGTCCTCAGCATTTTCCTCCTCCACTGTGGGATGCAGGATGACTGAACACAGTTCTCATCGTAGGCACTCACCAGGGACTTATTAATGTCATTTTTTTTGCACAGCTATTACATCCCTTCAGATTGGAACTGTAACCTTCAACAGCCTCAACCTGAACTTGCTTCTTTAACATCCACAGCTAGCCAGTTCACTTTTTCTTTACTGTAAGTCATCACTCATACCGTAACTTCCCCTGATGGGGAATGTCCAAAAAGAGAATGATGATCATTACTCTGGATGCATTATTTTTAAACGTACAGGTATTATATAAATACATATAAGATGAACATAAACCACATTACTTTACATACACCTACAGAATTTTATTTTTAAACAAATTACAGGGAGACTAGAGAAATCATTCAGCCTAAGAATCGACGCATCCACTTTACAAGCACAACTTCAAAACTCACAACCAAAAATATTAGTGTATTCTGAGGCACAGAAATACAGGCTCAGAAGTACATTATTTCTAAGCTGCTGAGGTACATTTCAACTTTCTATCAACAGCAAGCCAGATCCACACCTCCCTTCCTGCTATCCTGATGCTCAACTTGCTTCACTCCAGACCACACAGATTAGTTCTGGGAAAACAATCTTCTTTCTCCTGCTGGTGAGCGCACATCACCCCTCTAATCAAATCCTGTCACTGCGTTATACCCACCTTTTGAGCACCTCTGAAGAACAGGTCATTTATATTTAGGTGCTTAAGTACAGCCTTAAACAGCTAAAATTACAGAACCTACTTTATAACAACTAGGGTCAGCTTTCAGCGACCAAAATAGTTCAAAAATTGCTTTTTGCTATTTATACTTCATGACTTTGTGCACTTTTTTCTCCAGCACTAGATTATGAGAAATCGACCAAATCTGTTTCACTCAGGGGACACTATCGGGCTTTCCATGCTCTGATGTTTGGGTTTGTAGATACTGCAGAGGAATGTTATCTTGCTAAAAACTCCGAGATCTGAATGTCTTACTGTATTTGTTTCAACAGCATGACCTTAAGATGGCCAAAATGCCAGTGTCATGAAAGAAAAGCAGCCTGCTCAAGGAAATGGCTAACCTAAATTGCACAGATAACAGGTAAATTCAGAGCAACAGATAAATCTGCTAAATATCAAAAGATCAATAAAAAGACATCATTTCCAATGGGCATGGTTTTCCAACAGGTTTTCAAGAGAGACAGGTTTTGTACTGCACTACACAGTACAGTTTCTCTAGATTTACGAAGTCCCGTTAAGAGAAACGAACCTGGAGTTTTGACCAAGAAAAGTATGGGCATTTTCTCTTTAGTCTGATATAAATCATGGAGTTTTATATTGAAACGAAACATTCATGCATACACACAGAGACACGTGTCAGTTGGCTATGGATGTTGCCTGAATAAATACATATACTTCAAAGCAAACACACTGAAAGTTCTACTGCAAAGAGAGAGCAACAGGCTCCTTGATGCCCGAAGTCTTCTTTCCATGGTTACCTAATTATCCTGGTCTGTTGGCAGAGTTAGCTGATGCTTATCTTAGCCTTTTCTCCTCTCCTATCCTCTCTTTCTGCCTTATTGACAACCCTCATTGCTTCTTTAAAAAATCCTGTTCACTTCCCTATCACTTCTCTAAAAATACTGTCTCCTGTCCTTCCTTTTTCACCTCTCTGAGTTTTCTTTTTTTCCTACACTCCAATAGATAAAAAATATACTACCAGTATCATAGCTTAGACCTTCTATATATGGACGTCCCCGCCCCACCCCCCCGCTGTCTTCCCTCCTGGAATTAACAACTGTAAAAAACCCAAAAAGCAGGCATTTGCTGTCCTCTGAAAACACCCCCAAGGAGACAACTGGGTACCTACTCCTGTCTATGAAATTCACTTCAATTATGTCTGGTCTGTTCAGCATGCCACCACTCATTGAAAGGTTTCAATAGGACTATTTGTGGCAGAAGAGGCCTTAACTATGATTCTATCTTTTCTCTGAAGCACACCACAGCTCTGTATATTGAAATCACCACTCGGAATTCAAGAACTACTTCAGCTTGCAACAGCAGTGTTATTGCTACTGATTTCTTGTTTTGTTTCCCAGAACTCTCTGAATTATGATGCAGCAATACCACTGTATCACTAGTTAAGTTACGCAGACAGACAAACAGAAAGGTTATATGCAAGGGACCAACTGAAGGAGGACACTTGATGATGCACTGTATCCTTTCAGTAAGCATCTGTAACCATAGGGGAAAAAAACCCCAACCCACCAAAACTTGATGGTAAGTTAGTTTCTGTAACATTCTAAGCCTGAAATGAAAAGCAGGATCAAAATAATTCAGTGGTAGAAGGTACTAATTTATCTACACAACCAGTGTGCCACTCTAAGACTGATCTCTATTGCTCACACATCTCCACTTGCAGCATTTAAAGCATCGATACTCATCCTTCCCCAAATGACAGTAATTATTTAAAAAAAATCTATGTATGTAAACTGCTGATACATTGTCCCTGGCACCCAAACACTTCCCCTGCCTTTGTGCAGGTTGTATGAAGATGGCTGCTTATTATCTAAGGAATTATTCCCACATGTTGGTACTTTTGAAGAGTTGTGAATTATTTACTGAAAAATACGTGGTGCTTTTATTCCAAAGATACATTTATGCCTTACAAGCTTTAATTATGTTTCAAAACCATACTTTGAGGTGAAGTACTTATATTTTAGATTGAAGATTCAAGGTGTGGAGGTAAGATAATTTACTCTAAGCCATATCATCAATCAGTGCCACTTTGGACTAACACCTTACAGTCCAGACTCCTCTTTTCTAATGCTTCTTTAACCAACATTACAGGCAAGTTACATGGTTCCCAACTCTTAGGCAGAAGTGTGAAATGTAATTTACACCTCTTCTGGGCAAGTGCCAGAGAGACATTTATGTCTGAGAAACTCGGCTCGAGAAAACAATGCAAAAAGATCTGTGCATCTCTTTGATAAAGGCTTCCTCTTTCACAAAATGTTCATAGTGAGATGCAGAGAGTCTGAAACCACAAAATCATTATTCACCTTTCAGCTTTCATCACTGCTATGTTTTCAAGGAGGCATTGGATCTTATTCTGCTCTCAGGAAGCTTAAACCCAGGAATTACTTCCACTGGAGTAGAGTTAAACTACGTACAGAGAATTTGCCCCTAATCTGCTGCACAAATGGGGAAATGACTTTTGGATATTATGCTGCTCTGGTGGAATTCCACAGCTGAGTAGGATCTGCTGGCATTTCAAATCTCCACCAGCTAACTGTAGAGAAAAGCAATGTATCATCAAAAATCAAGACTGAATCTCTGAAATTCTCCAAGGGGGAAAATAATCAGTCTTGTGTAGCAAACTTTCACATTACAGTTTAACAGACAATAAAGTGAATGCCATGTAGGAGAACATACCATAATCTGAATCCATCAAAACGCTACATTCAGACAGTGTTAAAAAGATCTAATAGAGGCTCTCAAAAATCCAGTATTGTTTTGTAGCCCATACTCAGCCTCTGGAGCTGGTAAATAAGGCCACATGATCACTCCACAGGTAGCGCACAAGTGTTTTAATTCAGAGTATGGTCTTGTGTGCACATTAGCTGAGCAGAATATCCCAAACTGTGGACTTAGTTCATGATGTCCCTCGACAGATTGCATCCATAATCTCTTACTTGCAAGTGTGCCTGTGGGTGAAGCAAAGTTCCCCATCCAGCTGAGCTAACAACCTCACCCAAGACCTTCACAACAATCAAAACCATCAAACCCATGTTAGACTGGGTCCTTCCCTGAAGACTGATTGCCTAACACACAATGTAATAATCAGGCAAAATTGAATGGAAAGGAGGAGGAAATACTCAATGGATAGAGTCATTGACACCCCAACAGCTCACTAAATAAGGATTATATATTGGTTAAATATTGGCATATGGAAGTTAAACGAAGTATCAGTGCTGACAGTGACTTGTTGTAAATCAAGGAAATTAAAGCGATAACAAACATGTTCTTTATGTCATGGG